CTAATTCCATATAAAATTGGAGATATTGTTTTAAAGTAATTTTTTTTTTATAAATGAAATTTTATAATATTATTAGAAATAAAAGTATTTTTTGGTTTTATAAATGTATATTGCTTCTAGGGATGATACGTTTAAATATACTAAATGATTTATATATGTAATATAAATTGTAAAGAATAAATAGAATGTTTATCAATTATCATGAAGAGGAAAACTGTCTAAAATACTTATGTTTAGCAATCCTAAAAAAATCATAAGAATATCAATAATATATTATTTTTTATGTACACAATGATATAAAAATTAAAAGAAAAGATCACAATCATATCAAAGACTATTTTTCATTTTTTTTAAAAACTTTTAACATATTCTTTTATCTTTTTAATAATTTGAATATATTTTAAATTAGCAAAAATTATCTATGTTGGTTAAAAAATGCAAATTATCTATAAAAAAACTTCCATGTATTGTTTTTTTTAAATGAAAATTTCCTTTTAATTTCTATTTCTAACGATAAAGTTTTATGGACAACGAAAAACAGTGTCAAAATGATTGTTTTTTTTTTATCATTTTAAATGAAATTCTCTCAATATACATTATAAAGCACAACAAATACTATTCTCCCTTTTATTTTAATTTTTACACTTATTAAACTAATCATGATGTATTTTTTAGTGATTTTTTTTTTATATTCCTTCTTATGTTCCAACTCTTAGTAAAGTAATTTTTATTCTGAAATACAATTATTCATAATTATACGTTATTTTTCCATAAAAAAATTTCACAAATGCATATAAAATATATTTTATTTCTTTACATAAATTCAATATTGAGCATAATTTATATCAAGCAAAAATTATCTTATTAAATTATCACAATTACTATGAACCTTTTTTACATATTTTATAAACCTTTAAAGTCATATAATTGTGTATATTTGTAAATATTTAAACACAAAAATAAAAGTGAATAAATAATATATTCCTTCATGAATTTCTGTAATATTCTTGAATTTCATTTTTTTGCATTCAATTTATCTTAATTTCTGTTGTAGAGATACGTATGTTACACATATTCCTATTTTGCTAATTATCATTTTATTTATTTAATGATATAAATGTTTTTAATGTATTGAAGGACTAACTAAAAAATAATTCAATATAGTTTATTATTCCAATCATTAAAAGTTAGGTTGGTTGCATATAAACCTTTTTTTGATTATTTATTAATATATTGCATTATAATTTCTTATTTTTTTTTTTTTTTCTAAATATGAAATTTATTTAGTTTTCTTAATTCCTCTATAACATTTAAAAATCTTTATGAAATAGAAAGATTATTAATTATAATTTAATCTTTCTGTAGTTCTTGAAGGGCAACATAAATCATTAATAAATAATTTTATAAAAACCAAAGGGTGCCTGAACTTCCACCATAGTTTATTTTATATTCCTTTAAAAATTAAATCTTATTTATGTTCATTTTTTTCCATTTTATTTTTATATTAAACACTTAAACTTTAATATAAAAGGTGAATGTAACAAATAATATAAAAAGGAGATATATAATTTATAAAATCATGTTTATGTGTTTCAGAATATTGAAAAATTTTATATAATTAAGATATATATTAACATTTATATAAAGATAGCAAAAGTGACAATCACAATTTTTTTTTTATTGATTTATTGGTTATATTTAATATTTTGTATTTTTTTATAGGAAATTTAAGATTATATAACTTTTATTTTATAGCTATAACTATTATAGGAACTATTTATGTTATTATGAATTATTTAAAACTATTTAATGGTAGTATCTATAAAAGTGGATATAATTTCAGAAATATAAAAAAAATAGTTTTTTATATTTGAAGAATTCCAATTGATAAAATTCCACAAAAAAAGACAATAAAACTATTTCTATTTGTAATATGCTAAAAATACAAGATGAGACAATGCATATTATGTTTAATAACTTGTCCATTGATGAGTTAGTGAACTATTTTATAATTTTCCTGTTATGATAGAAATAATAATATATTTTATAAATTGAAATATTACATAAGTTTCGTTTTCATTTTCCTATTTTTATTATATGTGTAATATATTATTATATTTTTTTGGATATTAATTTTGAAAAACACTAATTTTAGTCTTTGGGATTTTTTAAATTAAAGGTTATGTATAAAAAAATGAAATAATTAAAATGTATATAAAAAATTGAAGAACAATTATAACCATTTTTATTAATAAAGAGAGAAAACAATTAAATGATGAAAAAATAAAATTATAAACAAATATTAAACAAGAAAAATGAATATGAAGGAAATAGAATAATTGAAAGAAAAGAAAAAAAATGAAGGATCAATAGATTTAAAGTTTTACAAATGAAAAAATAATAAAAATATGTGATTTAAAATATTATATAGATGTAATATAATTATTTTAAAACATTTTTTGTTTTAACTAATTATATGTTAGAATAGTTAATAAAACAAATAAAAAATTTTAAAATTTGCTAAGTTTCCAAACATTTAATATTAATCCATTTGATTACTCAAAAATATAATTACTTAAAAAAAATATTTAAAAGAACAAAATATAGCATAGATAAATAAAGAAAAGAAATGAAAGCTCTTAAAATTGTTCATTAAAAATATAAAAAAGACATATTAATACTTTATATTATTTAATTATCATGAAATAAAGAATGTGTAGTTAATATTTTAATAATTGAAGAAAACTACTAAAATTATAGAAGATGGCATAAATTTATACTTAGGTTACTTTTGTTTATAGAAAAAATTATTCTGGTAATGATAAATTTGATATAATTTTACTTAATGTATTTCAACCTTAAAAATAATACATCTAATTTATAAAAAAATTAAATAAATACTAAGCATTAATTAAAAATAAAAATTATTTTGAAAATAATCATTTAAATGATTTATATTTACTTAAACATTTATGTAGTAACTTATATTTGATTATTTTAAATAAACATAAAGAACTAAAGAATGTTTACTTCGTAAAAAAAAGTAAAAATTTAATATTCTAATAATAGGAAAAAGTTTTAAGCCTTAAAAAGTTTTTATTTAGAAAAAAAATAAAGTTAATGAATATAAGAAATAATATGAAATAGAAATATTGATGTCTTATAAAATTTATTCTCTAAAAAAATTGAGCTAATTATATTTTCCCTTTGTAAATATAAAAAAAAATAATTCAAAATTTTATGATATTACAAATCATGCAATTTTTCAAAATAAAACTTATATAACTAATGTTGACTACGTACTTACAATAATTTTCACTAAGAATTAAATAAAAATATAACTCAAATTCTTTTTAGATAATTTTTAACGTGCATACCTTCTAATGTAAAAAAACTCCGACATATAATTAAATAAAAAATATAATTTTGTAAATTATCAAACTTAAGCTAATATATATAACACTGTTAAAAACAAAAAAATACACTAAAATAAATTTTTATAATATATATTCTAATTATCTTACCATATAATGATTCAGTATGTAGTAAAAATTAATTAAAATTTTTATTAATATACCATTAAAAATCTCATTATTATTTAATCATGGCACAGGTTTTGTATTAAATTTTTATTACATAGAAAATACTTTTAAAGTAATAAATTTATAAAATCTAACATTTTGCTAAATATTTTTTGAAGATATTAATATATTCACATTTAATAGGTGAATTTAAAAAAGGGACATTGAAGATAAAAGGTTCTGTTGTTTAAGATTTGGAAATTTTTATATTTCAAAAAAAAAATATACTATAATAATTAGACGTTAATTTATTAAGGATAGTGTTATTGTATGTTATAAAATTAGAAGTTAAATATTAAAAATGTATGAATAAATGTTTACATTAATAATGTTTACTTAAGAATATTTATATAAAAGTGTACTTATTCATTTTATAAAAATAAATAAACATTTATATTATAAAATACTAAAAAAATACCTATTTAATAAATTTTAGAATTTAATAGTGTTAATCTAAGAAATAAAAATAATTTATTATTGAGAATAATTGTCTATTCTAAAAAATGACCAATAAACTTTGTAATTAGAGAAAAAAATTTTGTAACTATCTTTTATGTAATATTTTTATTATTTTTTAAATTTAATTCTTAAAAAAAAAAGGGAAATTTCAAAAAAAAATGTATCATTTTGTAGTATAGCAGAATTTTCCTTCAAATCAATTATATGTTTTTTTGCATAGTAATAGAAATTATTTTTATTTTATATATACTTTTATATATTATAAAATTTCATTTAACAATTTTATAATAAAATTATGAAAAATATTCATTTTTTTTTATATTAGTCTACATAAAAGATATAATATTTTTATTTATTTTGAACAATTAAAGGATACTGTTCGCTGATACGTGTCACACATGTTCAATGAATCATAGGATCATAAAATAATTTTTTATAAGGCAGGTAGTTAAAGTGTTTTAAGTTAATATGTTGCTTTTTATTAGGAAATTTAAAAAAAAGTAATGAAATAAGTTACTGTGTTATTAACATTTAAATTAAAAAGAAATAATGTTTTGGTTTTTTTCTTTTTTAACATTTTTCTTTGTGTATATATTTTTAGTGTAGCATTTATAATATATTTCTTTTTATTTATGTGTATTCTTTTTATTTTATTCATTCATTATTTTTGTTGGGTGTTTTTATGATCACGAAAACATTAGTGAATATGTTACTTTTAGTTATTTAAAAAAAAAAAATAATATTAATAAAAAAATTTATGTGAACATACTTTTTTATTTTTTCTTTAAAATACAAGTTTTATTCTAAAAATCTAAGGATAGAAAAAATGAAACAAATAAAAAAAAAAATAATTTTAACTGTTAATTATTGTTCATTATTTTTTAACTCTTGTTTTTCAGTATTAAAATATAATGTGCAGATAGATATAATAAATAACATTTACCAATTGTTTAAAAATATTTAATTATTTAATGATTTTATAATATTTTTAAGACTTTGCTCAAATAATTCAATTTCAGATTCATCGAATTTATTTTCCAAAACAAAAAACTTTGCTATATTTTTAATATTTTCACTGTCTAAAATAAAAAAATCTTCTTTATCTTCAATTACACTATTTTCTATTTTTTTACTTTGTTCTTTTTTTCTTAATAAATCCTTTTTGTCATTTTCTTCTGAATAATTACTTATAAATGAGTAATTATTATTTCTTTCATAATTTTCATAGTTTTCATCAGTAGTTTCTATTTTTAGTTCATCTCCATTTTCTAATTTGATAGAATCTATTTCACCATTTAATAGTTTTCTAATTGCTTTGGCTGCATTTTCTGTTTCATTAAAATTTGTATTGTTTCTTCCTGATGAAACACTAACAAATATAGCAAAGAAAAATATCATGCATATAGTAGCTAAATAACTTAAAGAAACTTTCATTTTTCCTGAAATAATAGATAAACAAATAGTTATAAAAATTAAAATATATAAAAAATAAAATTACTTTTTTTTTAAAAAAAATTTAAAGAAAATTTTATGTGAAAGGTTGAACAAATTAATATTGTCTTGAAAGATTACAAAATAACAAATATAATTAGTTAAATAATTATTTTTATGAATAAAAAAAATAAAGTTGTTAAAACAGAATTTTACTGAAGAATAAAAAGTTTTAATATTTTTTTTTTTCTAGCTAAATGACTTTCGCAAAATAGTATTCTGATAAGGTTTACAACCAAAATATGGCAGCTAATATATTTTTTTTTTTTTTTTCTAGCTAAGTATGTCGATAAAAAAAAAAAAAAAAATTATATCACTTTTTTATATTTAAATAAATAGTTCAGTTTAAAGTTAGCTATAATAAATATATTGCGTCTTTCCGCTAAAACAAAAAAAAAAAAAAAAAGACAGTACATTTTTAATTAAAAAAAGTAATCAATGAGAAATAAAATTTGAGAAATTGATCTTTAGACTTAATAAAAGTAAGATGATAATATATTTCCATTGAATTTAAAAGTAATATATCAAAACATTTATATAATTTATTTTAAAGGGGAAAGATACTTATATATGTTTTAATTTATATATTAATAAAAACCACATTCAGTTGTAAGTACGATTTCTTAAAAAATATTTATGAGGAGATATAATATTATAAAAAAAATAAATTTATATTTTATTTTTTCTTTAAGATTTTTTTTCTTGTTTAATTTTTTCTTTTAAATTAAAAAAAACATAACACTAACTTATAAATTATCTCTTCCATAAAAGGTTTGAATTTTTTTGTTCTTTTCCTAAAACTTAGATTTTTTTATTATTTCATTTGAGTATATATTTTAATAACGTATTTAAATTACTACATGAATTTTAATGTCATACGAGCACAATACTTTCGAAGGCTTTAAAAAAATAATGTATGAACAAAAAGCAGCATAAATAGAAAAAGTAATATTACACAAGTATGGTATAAAATAATATTACATAGATAAAAATTCATTATTTTTTTTGCTTTATAATATATCGTATTATTATAATATAAACAAAGTTAATTTATACAATATCTTACAGAAAAATAATAGACTTAACATATAAATATTATATCTAAATCTTACACTTTTATAAAATAACTTCGTAAAAATAAAAGGGTAAACAATGTTTATTTTAAAAGAAAAAAGTTATAAATTAAATTGAAGAAAGAATATTAAAAAAAAAACTATTATATATTAAAAATATATACACATTTTTATTTTTTTGGGGTTTGCGTTAAAAGTTAATATTAATCATTTAAAAAAAAAATAACCATAAAGTCATTTAGATAATTTATTATTTTTTATATATGTCATTTTTTGCCTCGAAAAAAAAGTTACATTTTTTTAAATTTACATAAAAACATTTTTTTTTTTTTTTTAATGTTCATATATTTTTCTCTTATATGTGAACAAAATAAAAAATAAATAAATAAAAATATGCAATCTATTATTTATTTTATTAAATATGTAATTTTTTTACTATATATCTATAATATCATTTTAAAAGCTAAAAGTTTTAAGGTATCAAAAAATATTAGGTATTTTATTTTCTTTGAAAAAAATATAGTGTTTAAGAGAGAAACAAAGATTAACTTAAAGAAAAGTACAAATATAAAGAAAATGGATAGCCAAGAAAATTTATTTATCGATATAGGGGCAAATCTAACTGATAAAATGTTTGATGGGATTTATAATAAGAAAAAGCATGAAAATGATTTAAAATAGTAATAATTAAAACGTATGCATATTATATATATATTTTTTTTACTTTGTTAATTATTTATTTTCCTTGTAGTGTTTTAAATAGGGCAAAGAACAATAATGTTGAGAAAATTATAATAACTTGTACATGCTTCGAAGATATTGATAAATCTCTTAAAATTTGTGAAACATATGGTTTAATTTTTTTATTTTAAACATTAGTAATTTTTAATCTAAAAATTTATATTTTTTTTTTTTAATTTTTAAACAGATCCTGAATGCAATTTTTTATTTTTAACTGCTGGTGTACACCCAACAAGCTGCTTTGAATTTACTGGAAAAAAGCATATTGAAGAAACAGAAATGTTAGCAAAAAAGGAATTTGAAGACTTTATAAAATACTATGAAAATGAGAAAAATTTTGTGGAAAAAAAAAAGTGTGAAGATTTAGTTGAAAACAAAGAAAGTAACGTAAATTTAAGTACTACGATAATAAATGAAAGAAAAATAAATTCTGATGAGATAAGAAAAGAAGATTTTAAAATACCGGGTTTTGTTTATGATGAAAAAGATCAGAATTATTTAGAAAAATTAAAGGAAAAAATAAAAAATAATAGTAATAGAATTGTATCTATTGGTGAAATAGGATTAGATTTTGACAGGTTATTTTTTTGTCCAAAATATACACAAATTAAATATTTTATATATCAGTTAAAATTGGTGGAAATATTTAGATTACCAATTTTCCTACATATGAGAAATTGTTCTGATATATTTTTTGAAATTTTAGAAAAATATAAGCCATTAATTGAAGATGTTGGGGCAGTTATTCATAGCTTTACGGATCAAAAGGAAACAATAGAAAGAATATGTAACTATAAAAATTTGTATATAGGGGTAAATGGATGTTCATTAAAAACTTTTGAAAATATAAATGCAGTTAAAAAAATACCTTTAAATCTTTTATTATTGGAGACTGATGCACCTTGGTGTTCATTAAAAAAAACACATGCATCATATCAGTTCATTAAAGAGAAATATGAAAAAAGAAGTTATACAAACTTAAAAAAAATTAAAAATGTAATACAGTGTGATGACACAACTATATTTAAAGAAAGAAATGAACCCTATAATATTGTGTAATTAAAAAAAAAAAAAAAGAAAAACTAAAGTGAATGAAAAATATTAATACGTGCCTTTTAATTTATAATTGTTCTAAAATAAAAATTTTCTTTTTTTAAATTATATTTATATGGTCCTACATTTCTTATTTATATATTCAAAGTTTTATTTTATATAATTGTCAAAAAAAAAAAAAAAAAAAAAAAAAAAAAAAAAAAAAAAAAAAAAAAAAAAAAATAGCTATTTTATATTAAAGTATATTATTTATTTTATTTTTTTATCCATTACTTATATTTATGCTTTTTTGTTTTATTTGAAGTTTTTATATATATATATATATAAATTTATAATTACATATTTTTGCAGAGATATAGCAGAAATTACATATAAGATTAAGGATCCTAACATAACATTTGATGCATTTTGTAAAAAGTAAATTAAAATTTTTTTTCATATATGTTTTAAAATTATTTCATATATTTATTTAATATAAAGATATATCTCATTTAAAACTTAATTTTTTTTTTTTTTTTTTTTTTTTGTATATTAATTCATAGTTTTTATTTGTTCTTTTTATGTTTTATATTATATATATATTTATATATATATTTAATTTTTATTTCCTTTTTTAATATTCGCTTTAAAAGAATTAGATGTAACACTTTAAATTTGTTCAAGAAGCTAAGATAAAAAAAATTTTTAGTAATGAATCCAAAGTTTTATAGTGTAAGATATATTATTATTTAAAAAAAAAAAAAAAAAATCAAAAAGATGGGAAACGTTAAAAAAGAATTTTCGAAAGATACACTGAAGGCACATTTAGAAGCGGTAAACTTAATTTCGTCCTATTTAGTTTGTCTTTTTCTCTTTTTTTTATATTGTTTCATTTTTATTTTCACTATTTAATTTTCTTTTTTTTTTTAATGTTTCTCATTTAATTATATATAAAAAAAAATCTTTAAAGATAGATAGAAGAATGTAAAGAAAAAAAAGAAAAATATGTAAAATGTTTTAACAATTGGTATAAAAATAATTTTCTTAAGGGTGATTTAACACAAGCTTGTGACGACTATTATGAAGACTATCAAATTTGCGTTTTAGTAATAATAAGAATAATAAAAATAATATTTCAATAAAAAAAAAAAAAAAAATGAATAAAATAAAAGTAAAAAAGAGAATGAGAAAGATTAAATTATATATACATTTATTATTTTTTTATAGAATGATTTAAATAAAAAAGGCTTAAGTCATTTAACGAATTTTGAAAATGAAAAATGAACTGACATATTTATATCAAAAATTTTTTATATTTTAACATTTTTAATTTAATTTTATTTTATTTTTTATTTTAACATTTGGTACTCATCTATTATTGTTCCTTCAAAAATAAAAATACAAAATATTTATAAAAACAAATAAATAAATTAGATGAATTAATTTTTTTTTATAGTTTTCATATGTAAAATTAATAAAATTCACAATGTAAAAATAAGAATGTATATATATATCTTAATTTATATGAAAGAATATTATTAAAGTATATGTAACATTGATAACACATTAAATAATTACGATAATATATTAAAACATAATATATAATTACGAATAGAAAAGATATATATATATATATAAAAGAAAAAACAATGTAAAAAATAAATAAATAAATTTAAACAAACAGGAAACGTTTAATTAAAAAGATACAATATTTTAATAAAAAATTTAAAATAATAAATAAATTAATTCTTTGTATAAAAAGTAAGAGATAAAAATAAATTGATTAAGAATATCTATGTTTTTTCAATTATATTTTATATATTAATATTATAATTTTTGTTTCATTGTTTTTCATTAAATTCTGAATAAAATTTGTGCTTTTAGTCATTTTATAAATTATTATTTATTAAAACATTCAATGATATACTATTTACGTAATTTTATATTAAAATTTTTATTAGGAAAAACTTACAAGAACTTTCAAAATTTCTTTTTTTTTTTTTTTTTTTTAATTATTTTATAAATGTGTTAATTTTTTAACAATTTAAAGTTTACTGATTTTATTTTCCCAAACTGTTTATAAATTTATTTTATTTTTTTTTTATTATTATTATCATCAGTACTGGTAATTTTTATAAAATTTTTGTTTTCTTCTAAAATTTCATTAGAATTATTAGAACACGTGAAATTTTTTTTATTATCTTCATTCTTTATTGAATAATCAAATTTATTTTTTTTGTCAAAAATTATTCCATTTGTATGATTGCTTATAAAATTATTTTCTATATTTATTTCATTTTCTATTGGATGATTTAAGTTTTCTATAGGATAATTTATATTATAGTCATAAAGAAAATCAGAATAATTGTTGAATTGATGATTATATAAATTTAAGGGATAAAACAAATATGGATTCTGAATGTTCTGATTACTATATAGATAATACAAATTTGTATCTATGCTGTTTTTATAAATATTATAATTTCCTATAAATTAAAAAAATTTTATGAGTCAATCTTAAAATATTTACAATAAATAAAAAAAAAAAATTAATACAAACCTATATAGTTTGGAGGAGTAATATTATAATTTTTAATTTTAAAAGAATCTTTTTTAGAAGAATATTCAGATGCTTTATTTTTGTTGTAATTTTTTTTTCCTTTCTCACTTTTATCTTTTAAATGATAATTCTTTCTGTTATAACATACATGCTAAAAATAATAATAAAAAAAAGAATTAATTTATATTTTACTATGTAAGTATAAACAAATTTTTTTTTATTATACAGATAATATCTTTATAATTATAGATGTGTTTGAAGGTAGGTCTAATAATTCGTTTAATTTCTTCCTAATAATTAATAGAAAAGGAAAAAATTTAAAAATATTTTTGCATATTTATATATACACTTATATTTCTTTTGTTCATAATATTTTATATTACGTTAAAATATTTTTTAAATAGTGAGAGTAATTTTTCATCCATATTTTAAAAAAAATTTCGCTCTCTCTTATACATAATTGTATACCAGATATATCAATTAAATTGAATTCTTCTCCAATTGTTAAGAGGACCTAAAAAAAAAAAAAAATTTATTAAGGTAATTAAAAATTTTAATATTTTATATAATTTATTTTTTCCTAAAATTTCATATTTAACATTTATAATTAAAATTTAAAGAAGAAAAGAAAAAATTACCATTTTTTCCCATATTAAATCGGCAATATTACTTCTAAAATAATTTGTATTTTTTATAATACAAATAAATCCATTTGGATATTCCTAAAATAAAATTAAAATAAAATAATAAATATTTTACTTTATTTTATTTTTATTATAATTATTCATTTATACTTCATAAAGTGGCTTAAGATTCTGTTTAAAGAGATAAATATTATAATATTCTTTTATTGAAGATGGAGATTTCATATATTTATAATTCCTGTTAAACAAAAAAAAAATAATAATAATAAAACTTTTTCTTATTTTTTCTTTTTTATTTGCTAATTACTTATAAAATCTTTCTATTGTGTTAAATGTTTCTAATGATATTAAACTGTTAATATACTGTTCATAATATTTTCTATTTTCTCTATCAAATAAAAATGCCCAAGAATTCTGTAAATAATTTTCGTTCTAAAAAAGACAGAATATACAAAAAAAAAATGAAATTAATTCGTATTTATAGTAGTATTAATATTAATAAAAACAAAATATAAGTTCTATCAATAAAAAAGTATTAAAAATTCTTTATATAAAGATGTCTGTTTTTAAAAAAATTATATCTATATTTATTTTGGAAATACTAATTGGTTTATTTTTTGTTTTTACTTTATTTTGGGTTTCTTCTATTTCTTTTTTTGAATTTATTTTACTTTTTTGATCTAAATGGTTCTTATTCATATTGTTTTCGCTGCAATTTATTTCATTTGGTTTATTATCATTCATATTATTATTAAGTATATTATTTTCATTCATATTAGTTTCATTTACAATTTTCTTATATGTATTGTTACTATCTTCTGTGAATTCGCTATTATTTCCTTTGTTGTTTATTTCATTTTTTTTTTCTAAAAAGTTCTTTTTAGGATTATCTTTTTGATATTCTTTGTTCATTTCCTTTTTTTTCTTTACTTCTTTCCCGTTATATGTGTTTATCTTTCCTACATTTTTACTCTTTTCTTCTTTTAATTCATCATACTTTTTTTTTGATTCATTTTTATTTTTCATTATTTTGACTTCACTTAACTCACATTTCATAATTCCATTGTTATTATTATGGTCATTTTTATTCTCTTTTAATGAATTTTTATTTTTAAAATTTGTTTTAATGTTTGGCTTGTTATTTTTAAAATTTTCGTTTTTATTTTTCTCATCTTCATTTATATATGAATCATTGTTTTTTTTGGTTTTTCCTATTTCACCAAAATTGTTTTTAATACATTCTACGTTTTCCTTCATTTCTTTTTTTTTTTTTTTTTTTTTTTTTTTTTTTTTTTTTTTTTTTTTTTTTTTTTCTTAATTTAAAAATAAAATACAATAATAAAATAAATAATAAAACTTGGTTTAATCAAATCTAATTTAATTTAGCAAAATATATAAAAAATATAGATAAAATTTTTTTCCCTTTTTATTTTTTTTTTCTTACATAGAATTAATAAAATTAAACAACATTATAAAAAAATTAAAAAACATAACTTAAAAATAACTAAAAGGAAAATTTGCTTTTTTTATAAAATATTTTAAATAGGTTAAAAGGAGAATATGTATATATATACATATATATTTATATATGCAAAAAGGTAGAATTTCAAATCTATAAAAAAAAAATGTATATATATGATAGTTTAAAATGTTACTCTATTTTAACATACATATATATATATATATATATATATATAAAAGAATATGGGAATTAAAAAAAAAAATTTTTAAAAATGTTCAAAAACAAAATATAATAAAAAAATAAAAAGTTATTTTTATTTTTATGTAAATTAAAAAAAGTATTAATAAGGTCTCCATATATTCATAGAAAAATATATATATATATATATATATAAAACGAAACAATAAAATTTTTTATGCACTTAAAGTTTCTTATTTGAATTTTTTAATAAAATATGTAGATAAAAAATAAGATGTAAGTAATTTATACATTTAAGAAAAAAAAAATATGTATGTTATTATAAACATATAAATATATTTTTAAAAAACTGTGAATAAATTATGATAAAATTACATGTACTTAAAAAATTGAGAAAAAAAAAATTAATTTAAAAAAAAAAAAAATATATATATATATATATTTATATATATATATATATATATTTTAATTCAAAATGATTTTAAAAAGAAATAAAACATTAAATGATTTTCCTTATCACTTATGTTGGTTTGGTTTGAAGCCAAATTTAAAATTTTTGATCGATACTAATTTTAAGTTTAGTTGCTTAGAGGAATTTTATTTATTTAGATTTTCAAATATTACTAGTTTTAATTTATTAAATTTAAATCATTCAAATAATAATTTTGTAAATGTATGGTTTGATAATTTAGACAATTTAATTAAATGTTTTAAAATTAAATATTCATCAAATAAATCAAAAATATATTTGTATGAAAAATATTTTAATAAGAAATATCCTGTTAATGATATATTTAACTATAAAAAACCTGAACAATTTTATTAAGAAATATATATAAGGGTGGCTATTCAGTATTTCTTTATTATTTTCACTACTTTTATTTTTAATAAAAACTTTAGCTATTTTATAGTATTTTATTTTTACTAAATAGAGAATGGATGGAAAAATAAGACTAGCAAGTATTCATGAGTTAAAAGAAATTTTTATAAAAGAGTATACTGAATATATAAAACTACTTAAAAATATAGAATTATATTATCAAAAGTTACAATTAAATTGGTTCAAATTTCATTTATTTTATGAACCTAATAAAAATGACGATTTTGCATATTATAAAGAAGTAAAAGATAAAAAGAAAAATGGAAAAAAAAGTAGGAGCTATTGTAGTTATAAGGCTATTGAAGAAGATTTGAAAGTTATTAAACAAAAAGAAAAACAAAATAACTGTTATTATTTTAAAACTTTTAGAAAATCTTTTATTTTATACACTTTAAGGGATATAACTAATTCAGTTGAATTGTATTTAAACATTAAAATAGAATCAATGAATAAATTAAAAAAAAATGTATTAACTGATATTAACAATTTTTGTAGGGAAGAAATAAAAAAAATTATATTTCTAATAATTTTGTGTGAATTAAAATTAAATAATTTACTAATTAGTCAAAGGAAAACTGATGATAACAATAAATTAAATACAAAAATAATAAAAAATATAATTGAATGTTGCAAAAAAGTTATCCATGAAATTACAAAAAACTTAATTCCACATTTTCTACTATTTAATATATTTTCCTCTCCAAATTATTTTAATTATCAATTTAATTATTTCGATAATTTTATTGAAAGCATTGAAAAGTAAAACAAATATAATAAAAAAAAAAAAAAAAATGTAAGATGTAATGAATTTTATTTTTATTTATTTTTAATAAATAAATGTAATGTTCTTCCCTCAATACCTTACTCAAATATATAACAATTAATACTTTATTTTTGTGTATATATTTTTTTTTGTAAATTACTATAATTATCTTCGCATGTTTTTGTATCATTTTACTTTATTATATATTTATTAATATTTTTGTTATATTTTACTATTTTATTTTATACATTATTTCTATATATTGTTATGCTTAATTTTCATTATTAATTTTGCATTTTTTCTATTTTATTATGTATTTTTTTTTTTTTTTTTTTTTTTTTTTTTTTTTTTTTTTTTTTTTTTTTTATATTATTTCTATAGAATTTTTTATCTATTACACTTAATTTTTTTATAATTTTTTCGTATTTTTTATTTTTGTTTTTATTCTTTTTCTTTTTTTCTTTTATTTCTTTATTCCTTTTTTTTTTTTTATGAAATCAAACATATAATAGGGAGTTAATATTAAAGTGAAATAGAAAAAAAGCTGAATAATGAAAAACAAGATGCTTAATTGTTTTTAGATATATAATTTAGAAGAAAAAGGAAAAAATATTTATGAAAAATAAACACTTTTATTTAAAACTTTTTTTTATGATTTTAGTTAATTTCTCTAAAGTTTTCTTTGTTGAAAATTTAAATTATTCGAAAAATAAGAAAAAAATTTTCTATTTGAACAGAACAAATGTTTATTATAAAAAAGGAGATAATTTTAAAAGTTTATTCAAAAAAAATAAAATAACAAGAATTATAAATAATACAAACTTCGTTTTTAATACTAGAAAATTTAATTCATATCAGTATTTAGAAACATTTTTTATTAATAATAAATTCATAATGAGTAGAGATCAACCTCTTGTGGTAATATATGAAAAAGACAAAAAAAAAAAAAAGAAAAAAATAGGAAAAAAAAAAAAATTTTTTTTTTTACAATTTTTTTAAAGATATTTATGCTTGGTGGACCAGGAAGTGGAAAGGGAACACAATGCAAATTAATTCAAGAAAAGTTTGATTTTATTCATATTAGTGCAGGTTTATATTTTGATTAATTATTTTTATAGTTCTTAATTATATAATTTACTTATTTAAATGTTATTATCTATATTTTTATTTAAAGGTGATTGTTTAAGAGAGTATTTAATAAAATGTGAAAAAAATGAAGTAAACAAAAAACATCAATCAATTGTAGAAGATTGTATAAATAATGGTTTGAAAAATGTGTGTACAAATATATATATATATATATATATATATATATATATATATATTTTATATAAAATTTTTATTAATTTTTGTATTTAGGAAAAATAGTTCCTGTAAATATAACTTTGGAATTAATGAAAATAAAAATTGAAAGTGAAATAGAGAAAAGAAAACAACTAGAACATGAACAAATTGAAGAAAGAGAGGAAATAAAAGAAAAAAAAAACAGTTTTTCATTTAATTTATTAGATGAAAACATATATTTAAAAAATACAGATATGGAGAAATACCATGAGAAATTAAAATATGAAAATAATATTTATGAAAATAAAGAAGTATTAGAGATATTAAAAAAAAATAAATTAAAACAAAAAGCAAAGTATAAATTTATTATTGATGGATTTCCAAGAAATTTCGATAATTTTAATGGATGGATTAAGATTATTGGAAATTATGCTTATGTGCATCTATGTTTATTTCTTTATTGTGATGAGGAAGTTATGATTGAAAGATGTATAAGTCGAGGATTAGTGAGTGGTAACATTATATATAATGTTATTAATTTGTTCTACATTTTTATTAATATATATGTTTTTTTTAATTCATTTTTTTTTTTTTTTATTATCTTTTTATATTTATTATTATTATTTATTTATTTCTTCAGGGAGAGTTGATGACAATATGGAAACATTAAAGAAAAGATTTGAAACTCATAAAAATGAATGTATTCCTATAATAAATTTATTTTTAAATGAAAATAAATGTATTTTTATTAATGCAAATAAAAATATTGAACATGTATGGAATGATATACAATATATTTTTTCAAATATGTAATATACTTAATATTTACAATTAGATATTATATTTATAATACCTCATTTTACATATATACTACATTTGACTATAATTTTTGCAATTTTACATAATATATTTTTGGTCATGTAGTTTATGATGATCTCAACATCTTTTTATTTTCTTAATTAAAAAATTTCTAAAAATATATAGAATTTAGATACATATATATTCTAACTTTTAGAACTTTTTTGTTAATTTTTCTTTTTTTTTAAATAAATTTTAATTTTTAATTTTTTTATTTGATGATATATATATATAATTTAAAAAAAAAAAAAAAAAAAAAAAATAGTAATATGGAAAAGAAAAAATATTTACCATTTAACGAAAAAAAAGAATAAAAATAAAATAGCAATTATGCTAAAAATAATTACATGAAAGTTATATATCATGGACAAAGTTAATAAAAGAAAAAAATTAAATTTGGGAACAAAACAAAATATAAAAATCATCTAATATATATATGTATTTTTAGTACTTTTATATAAAAGAAAAAAACATATGCTACAGAATGATATTATTTCATAAAATTCTGTAAAAAAGGTTTTTTTTTGAAATAAAAAAAAAAAAAAAAAAAAATTCCAATAATGAATAATACATGGAAGAAATATAAAAATGAAATATGAACCCACATTTTTTTTTTGGTATATTTTTTCATGTTTGTACTTTTCAATTTTTTTGATTTATTAGATATGATTGTTCATAAAATTTTTGTCCCGCTTTATTTGTTTCTCTCCAGTGATACAAGAAGTTTTTAAAAAGTTCTGTTCTTTGATCGTGACTTAAATTTAAATAGTTATTAAGTTGTTCATTTATTTCTTCATCTGAGTTAATAATAAATGGATTATTTTCTTTCTCTAATATATTATTTTCATTAAAAATGTTATTTTTATTTTTTAGTCCATTTTCTAATTCATCAATTTTACAATGAAGTAATGTTTTATCACTTAGTAAAACATTTTTTTCATTTTCAATTTTAGAATTTTCTAATCTTAAACTATCAATTTGATTTATGAGAGAAATTTTTTCATTATTTAAATTTTCTATTTGTTTTCTTAAATCATTGATTTCTTTATTAAGAGCAAATTCATTTTGTGCTATTTTTCTTAGTTGTTGATTCTCATTAACAATTTTATTCATTTCTATCTCAAGACTATTATTTAAATCAATTAAAGTTTGAACATTTTTATTCAAATTTGTTATTGTTCCTTCAGAGCTATTTTTAACTTGATCGAACTTTTGATTATAATTAATTATGATATTCCTTAATTCTTCTATTTTTATATGACTATTTTTTTCTCTCTTTAGTGTTTCTTTTAATAAATCTGAAACTTTATTATAACTAATTCTAATTTTATTTATTTCTTCAGTACTTTTTTTCCTGCTTCTTTTTAAGCATTCACAATAGCTTAATAATTCTTGAAATAAATAAACTATATCTTTTTTTTTTTCGGAAGAATATTGTGAAACATTTAAATAATCTAATTTATTTTCATTATTTTCATTGTTATTCACACTATTTTGTAAAAAATTTATATTATTTAGGTTTGATGTATTTATGCTGTGTGTTTTAAAAGTTAAGCTACTATTTATATTAAGAGTTTTATCATTTAAACCAAAATTATTGTTATTATTTATGTTGTAATTAAAGTTATTATTATTGTTATTGTTATTCAAGTGAATATTATTATTGTTAGTATTATAATTATTATTAATATTAGAAGAGGCATTATTTACATTTGATAATACATCTTTACTTTTCATAATTGTGTTATTAAATATATCATTTTTTTTCTGATCATTATTATTATACCATTTATAGTTATTTAATAAATGGTTATTTAAATTGTTCTCATCATTTAAATTATGCAATATTTTATTTTCAATTTCTTTTTTTTCATTACTTGTATTCACCAAATTTTTTTTAGGAGTAAAAAATACTGCGTGCCCAATAAGAAAATTTTTTTTTTTATTATCACTATTATATACATTCATATTTTCATTATTTAAATCACTTAAATTATTTTTTATTTCACTTATATTTTCTGATTTATCAGAATTTTTATTTAAATTATCTTCTATTGAATCACCGTTAATTTTTTTTTTTTTTTTTAAATTCATGTATATATTATCTGAAATACTTTTTCTAATATTTTCTTCATTTTTTGAACTATTTTTTTTTAAAAATATTATACTATCGGTTGCTTCATTTTTTTTAATCAAATAACCTTCACTTTTTTTTTTCTCGTAATTATTTTCTTTTGTTAATTCACTTTTTTTCTCTGATACATATGATCTCATTCTTTTAAAAAAAAAAAATATAAAATGCACTACTTATGTAAAATTTTACACATTCAACTTTTTTTATTAAATATAAAAATATTTAATACATATAATATTATTGGAACATCAGCATATTTCAATTATATATATCTTTTGAAAAATAAGCAAAGATAAATTGTAATAAAAAAAAAAAAAAAAAAAAAAGTGGAAAAATATATTTTTTAAAGATTATATTTTAAGCATTTTGTTAATATTTTTTATTTGGTTGTATAAATAGATGAAATACATTTTAATAGTATATATATATTTTTTTTTTTTTTATATTTAGTACAAATATTCAAATTTTGATTAGTTCAGTTGATTCAGATTTAACATATTAAGTTTTTTATTACTTTTTTGTTTGTCTGAATACTTTTCTTAATATTTTATTTTCTACAGAAAACTTATGGAGAATATTTCATAATCATTACTCTTTTTTTTTTTTTTTTTTTTTTTTTCAAAATTAATAACTTATTAAATATATTCCTCAAAATAGAAAATGAAAAAGTACATAATGAACTAAATTTTAAAAATTTAATAAATAACATAGATTAAAAAAATAAAATAAAAAATAAAAAAATTTTACAAGTTTAGAACTTTATTTAAAAACATTAGGAATATATAATTTATATATATATATATATATATATAATGTTTATGACTATTTTTAAATAAATGTTTTTTTTTTTTATAATTAGTATGAATAAACAAAACATAAATATTTGTATACTTTTGAAATTTCAACAAATGAATTGATAACAACAATTTATAGGTATACATATGAAATACCATAAAATGCTCTCGCAATCAAAAGAAAAATTTAAATATATAATTTAAAGAATTGAAAAAAAACTAATTTTCATTTTGTATATTTTATTTTACTTCATTTTATTTCGTTGTATAAAAAAAATACATTGATTACATATATATAAAGTAAGCATTACTTTTGTCCTTTTTAAATGTTTTTCTCATACATACATATGGAGTTATGTTTTTTTTTTTTTTTTTTTTTTTTTTTTTTCCGTTTGCACATTTTAAATAA